CTAACAATTATGGCGCTCGTTATAGTGGCACTACTTGCGGCATTTTTGCAAGCACCGGGAAAGTTTTTAGCGGCACTTATAAATGCCGCTATAGGGTTAAAAACGCCGCTAAAAACCAATTTTGCTGTAGTGGATGCAATTTAATAATGTATACATTCTAATTACTTTTAATTTTCTATATATATATATATATATATATGTATGTATATGTATATATATAAACTATATATGTATAAATTATATAGTTTATAAATTATAATTTATATTAATATAGTATATATATGTATGTATAACTAATATATGTAATCTATAGATTATATATATATATATATATATATATATATATATTATAGAAACACTATACATAAACTATATAAAGTAATAAATTATATAGTTTATAGAAACCCTAAACCTTAAACTCTAAATCCTAAACCCTAGACTTTATAAACTGTATATGTATAGACAATTGATAATTCATATAAAGTTTATAACTTTATATAAACAATAGTTTATATAGATTATATATGTAACATTAACGTATAGTATATGTATACATGTAAACTATATATATAACTTATAGTACATATATGTATAAACTATGTATAATATATATAAACTATATATATATATATAACCACTATATATATATATATAAACCATATAAAATAAATTACTTATATAGTTTTTAGAAACACTATGCATAAACTATATAAAGTAATAAAATATATAGTTCATAGAAACCCTAAAACCTTAAACCCTAAACAATATTATTGAAAATATTTTGATGTTTCGATATAACAATTTAAGTGTTATTAATTTTTAAGATTTTATAATCATTTCTAAAGTATATTCGATTAAGTTATTTGAATATCAAAATATTACTCCACGTTATTCTAAGGTCAATTTCAATCCTTACTAAAGTGTAAAATTGTGTTTTAAACTTAAAATATTTTTGAAACAATTTCTACAAAGTATTTCGAATCAAAATCGAGCCAAAAATTTATTTTTTTCAAAGGGATGTACCGATGCACTCATTGATGTATTGATGCACACCCTATTTCGAATGCAATTTGTGTACCGATGCACAACCATGCATCGATGCACTCTTGAATTTATTGAAACATCAAATGCATTTTATGTACCGATGCACAGACCATGCATCGATGCACTCCTGGCTCTTTTGAAACATCGAATGTAATTAGTGTACCGATGCACCCCAAGTGTACCGATGCACTAAGTCTTATAACGGTCGAAATATTTGAATTTTACACATAGTGTACCGATGCACCCTGATGGTGTACCGATGCACACACGCTCCCAACCAGATTTTTAAATGATAATTACTCAATAATAGCTCTATTGACTTCACCAATTATCCCCAACGTTCATAACTGATTCAAGGTGTATTTAAACAAGCTTAGGAGCCATTGATCAACAACAATTAAGAAGAATTGAGAGAGAATCAATGAGAAAGCATCAAACCTCAAGTTTGAGAATTTTCAAGCCTATTTCATTCAATATTCATTTTTTGCTTTCAATAACACTTTTTGTGCTTAATTGTATTATTCTCGAGTGTTCTTTCTTTGTTCTAGAATTGTGCAAACATCTTACCCTGCGAGGTTTTTCTGTAAGTTTGCGAAATTTGTATTGTTATCTTTGGGAGAGAGTGTTCTCAAGAATTTGGGGTATAATTCTTGAGGGATTTGCAAGGTTACTCTTTGTCCTCAAAAGAAAGAAAAATTAGTGAATTTATAGAAAATCCTTAGTTTGGATAGCTAAGGTAGTGGACGTAGACTTTGGTTGAGAAAGTCGAACCACTCTAAATCGCTGTGCAAATATTTTCAATTTTCTACAAAAGCTTCCACCAAAATTTTTATTGCCAATTCACCCCCTCTTGGATATTTCGTCAATCGATTAACTCAACAATTGGTATCAGAGCCTCACTCATTTGAAGGTTTAATCGTCTCTTGAGTCGATTCGGGAAGAGTTTTATCGATATTCAAGTCATCAATGACCTCCACTTCAAACTCCAACTTCGATCTTGATTCAATGCCCGTCAACAAGCATTCTTTCTTCAATGGAGCTAATTACACTTATTGAAAGAATAGAATGAGGTATTTCATTCAAGCAAGTGACATGGGAGCATGTAATATTATAGAAGATGGATACATCATACCTTCCACTCATTCAAGATTGTGGAGTGAAGGAGAGAAGAATGTTCCAGCTCAACTCAAAGGCTATCCATATAATATTTTGTGCTCTTGGACCAGATGAATACGGGAGAGTTTCATCTTGTACAACTGTCAAGGAGATATGGGATAAACTACAAGTTACTCGAGAAGGCACAAACGAGGTAAAAGAATCTAAAATTAATATTCTAACTCATAGCTATGAAACTTTAGGATGAAACCGGATGAAAATATCAAAGCTATGACGGATAGATTTTCCACTATTGTCAATGGTCTCAAATCATATGGAGAAATCATTTCAAACGAGAAGTTTGTGAGGAAGTTAGTTTACTCACTTTCAAAATACTCTCTTTCAAAATCTTGGCAATCAAAGAAGACGGCGATCATCGAGGCTAAAAACTTAAAATCCTTTACCCTCAATGAGCTTATTGGTTCTCTCCTCATGCATGAAATGATGCTTCAAGATGAGTTAGACCTCGAGAAAAGAGATGAGCCAAAGAAGGATACGAAGAAGAAGAAAAATTCTGGAATTGCTCTCAAATCCACGAAAGATGAGAGTGATTCAGATGAAGATGACGATGACGAGGAAATGACATTATTTTCCAAACAGTTCAAAAAAACGGATGAAGCCCAACCAAGGAAAAAAATTTAAACGTAGTGAAGGCTTCAAAAATAAACCAAAGGAGAAAGACCCGATCATTTGCTACGAATGCAAAAAGTCGGGGCATGTCAAATATGATTGCCCACAATTAAAGAAAAACGGTCAATCCAATAAGAAACATAAGGCACACGTGGCTACATTGAGCGATGATGAAGCTTCTGATGAAGAGGAACAAGAAGTAGCAAACTTGTGCTTCATGGCTTTTGGGGAGGATTCTCAGGTAACCTTTAGCTCATTTAATTTTGAAGATTATTCTTTTGATGAGCTATTAGAGGAATATAATGGGTTAGCTTCGGATTATGAAAAATTATTTTTAAAATACAAAAAATGATATTTCAAAATTGAAAAATGAAAATAATCTCATATCCAAGACCAACATTGATCTTGAAAGTAAAGTTAAAGAATTGCAAATCAAAATAGAAGATTTTGAAAAGAAAAATACTGATTTGTATTATAGGATCGTATTTGTGTCAAATTATCGATTTATCATCTCTAAATGATGGTTCAATTCAAAATATTGAATGATTGAGAATTGAAATTAAACCTAAATGATAAAATTAACAAATAAGAAGAAATATTTTTACAAGTATATATTGATTATTTTATGTATACTTGATTTTGATTAGGCTCATAACCAATTCAACCCGAATTGACCTGATCTAAAGGTTGACATAAACCGAAAATCAACCGATCCAATATTAGCCTGACCTGAAATTTAACTGGTCCAATATTAATCCTACCAAAAATCAATCGATGTGGTATTGACCCGACCCGATATTAACTCGATCAAAAAATCAATCGATCTGATATTGATATGAACCGGAAAACAACTGATCCAATAATCACCCTACCCAAAAATTAACCCGGCCCGATACCCGACCCAATTTGATTCACCGTACACCCGAACTAGATTCGAACCAGATTCGAACAAGATTCGAACCAGATTCGATCCGAATAAAATTAAACCGAATTTAATCTAGACATAAAATTACTCAACCCAAAATAATCCGACTCAAACCAAATCTGAATAACTCATTTGTCACCTCTAGTTAATACTTATAAATGATTTTCCTTTTTAAGGGAAAAAGGAAGGAAAGAACAAACTTGGGTTTGTGGAACACAATAAGCGGGAGACAATGGCTTTATTATATTAAAAATCCCCTTTAATTATTTTTTTAAAAGAAATAATCCTAACGTCAGATTAGTTAGAAAAATTACTCCTAAACTATCAATGTAAGATATCCCGCGTTCTTCAAAAAACGATGTTAGAATCGCGTTTGATGAGAAACGAATTTCATGCATTTATTATTATTTTTATCCAATATTAAATGAAATTATCTAAAAAAGTTAATGCGTCTCGCACCCTACAAAATGCGATTTTCATTAAATACGTTTTATAGGACGCGAGATAATCCTACTTGGATAATTTAAAATTATTTTTCTAACTAATCTGATATGGAGTTATTTCTTTAAAAAAAATAATAAGAGTTTTTAATTTAATAACGCTGACGACAATTGTTACCATTATAAACCAAACTGCATATTTCCTAGAGGTATCTCTCGGTTTTAAAGACCACTGGGCCACAACATTTATAACCCTATACTCACTCAATTAATCTCCCTTTCATCATCAACAATATTGTTCCCTGCATCCACTAGTATGCACTTCATATTATCAACCAGTTCCATCATTTGTTCCCTCGAATGCAACGGCGATGGGTATACGCAAATGCAATCGAGTCCGCCATCGCGTACGGTGTCAAAGACAGCAATGGATGGCGCGATGCCATGAGCCGAAGCGCACCCCATGTAGTCCTCTACCCCGACTTGGTTTCGCTGGTCGTTCGACAAGTCAACCACGGTGTCCTCAAACACCGATATAAAACAAGTTCTCAACGACGATGACGGAGTCAAGCCAGGGTTTTCCATGGCCCTGCACATCAAGAAATTAAGGTCTGCCATGTCTGACAAGTGCCTGTTGCAGCTCTTGTAGCTTGTAAACGATGTGTACATTTTCTTCGCTAGCTCCCAAAGCTTCTCACCTCCTTTAATGGTGTGCATGTTGAGAATAGCTGAGTGGTAAAACCCTAAAAACAATTAAAGAATCGTGTCAACTAAAACGATTTTCGTTATTTGGCACGCAACTTTGGTTAAGTGTTGGGTCTTTTGAAAACAACCTGCATTTGTGTAATGGTTTAAGTAATCAAATCTCAACTCCATTTGAAAAATTAATTTTTTATTTGACATTAAAACAATCAATTTGATTTGATTCGACTCATAATTTTATAAATTTGATTTGACTTGAAAATTTTTAAACAAAGTTTGAATTATAAAATAGGACTCGAATAACTCAAATTTTTTTGTAATTAGTATATTTATTTTTAAGTTTAAGTCGAATCTCTCAACTATATGTAATATATGCATATCATATATGAAAAAACATATGAAATATTATATATATATATATATATACACACATGTATATATCGTATATGGTTATAGAAAATTATTTAAACTAGAATCAATTAGTAACATAATATTATTAATATTTACAATTAAATTTAAACAAAAACTCGAACATCTAAATTTAAATCGAATTTCATAGACTCAACTCAACTAAAAAAAATTCAAATTAAATTTGAATTTTAAAATAAGACTCAATAAACTAGATTAACTCAAAATTTTTCTATTTAATTCGGCTCTATAAAATATTCGTCTTTGATTTCTATCAAAGAATTAAGGAAAAAGAGATTGTAGTTGGTGGGGCAGATATAAATTAAGATTGACATATTTAAGCATTTCAGGACCACATTCATTAATGAAAGAGATATTTCTTAAGGGGGGAAAAGATCCTATCGATGACCTAGTATGGTCATAGTCTATGATGAAAACCTTGATTTTCACAAGTTGGAGGCCTAAAATAGAATTTATTGGAGTTTATGCAAATCAAATTTAATGGCTTACCGAAACGGTGATCGGATATAGGAGGTTCAAGGATATAGGAGGTTCAAGAATCGACATTCGTCTTTGATTTCTATCAAAGAATTAAGGAAAAAGAGATTGTAGTTGGTGGGGCAGATATAAATTAAGATTGACATATTTAAGCATTTCAGGACCACATTCATTAATGAAAGAGATATTTCTTAAGGGGGGAAAAGATCCTATCGATGACCTAGTATGGTCATAGTCTATGATGAAAACCTTGATTTTCACAAGTTGGAGGCCTAAAATAGAATTTATTGGAGTTTATGCAAAATCAAATTTAATGAGCTTACCGAAACGGTGATCGGATATAGGAGGTTCAAGGATATAGGAGGTTCAAGAATCGACCGGCAATCAGTGAGGGTGACAACACCATATTTCTTCTTCTGATGATAGGAACGGCATTTAGAACTGTGCGCGGTCATCAGTCCGGCAGCACCTAACGCTCCACACAGCTTAATCCCCATTGTTTTGCAACCCTGAAAAGTTACAAGATCACAGTAACATCGTAATCGCATCCGCAACATAAAAATGCAGTTATTTTTAAGAAATAAATCATATTATAATATCCGTAACATCCTTGATCTATCTGCAATTTTGCAATTTAGTATTATGATTACAAGCTTGAATCGATTACTTACTCTCAAGATCTTGTCAGTGTTATCAGGGTTGATGAGCAACCTCACAACTTGAGTAGATCTAGGAGATTTTGCATCTTTGAACTTCAAGTTGGTAAGACTTAAAAAATTAACAGAGTAGCTTAGCATGTCGACTCCACGCGCCCAAAGTGTTTTCTTAGCCATCCCTTTAGGAAGAAGATATTCACTGGCCAAACTGATCTCTCCTTTGTTCATAGTTATTTCCTTCTCATTCTCATCTTCAACTCCCATTAACGTCAACGCCCACCTCGCTGCACTAGGCAAAGCGTAAGAGCTGGCGAAAACGACGTCGGTTTTGGTGCTGAATGAAGTAGTACTACTAGTCCATGCGTTATGGTTAAGCTCGAGTTCGAGAATCAAATGGAGGGGCGAGATGTTTTGGTCGCCTTGGAGGATCTGAGAAGTGGTGGAATGGTTGAAGTGCTTGATTTGAATGGAAGGGGAAGGAGTTGTGAGTGTGACGAATGAGTAGGTGTTAGTGTTAGGATCGTGATGGAGACGAGACCTGAGAATTGGATGCGAATTCTGAAGTTTGTTGATGGCGTTTCTGAGACGTGACATATGCATGTCGGGATTAACTGATGAAAGGATCGCCAAGACGGCGATTCCGGTGCCGCTGACCACCGCACGACACCAATTGAGCTCGGTGCCGCCAACGGCTCGGCGATTGGGATGCAGGATTTGGGAGTTGAGATGGGTGGACATGTAGTAATTAATTATAGCAGCAGCGGTATTGGTATATAGTAATACAAGTCTACTGCTGCGTTTGCTTAGTTTCGGTGAGTGGGTGGGATATATATAAACAGTTGGGAATGGCAATTAAATGAATATTACCATCTCTCGTCCGCCCCATTAATACTGCTCTATGATTTTCTACTTTACATGTATAAAAAGTAAATACTGATTTATCTTAGTTCTTTAATCTAAAATTACTAGTTTTTTTATATAATTCTCAAATTTTATTAAAAAATATCTCGAATTACATTGAAAGTTTACAAGTATAATAGTAAATTAAACATATAATTAATACATTTTCTATAATCATTGACACAAAAACCGTCACATAAAATCACATAAGGACAACGTAAGTAAAAGGTTAGAAACCTAACTAAAAGACTTGAACAAAGATAGATACACATATATTTGTTCGCATTGGTAAATGAACCACAAAAGACAATCAAACTATTAAAAGATCACCGACAAACCACAAATTAAAGTAAACGACGTGAAAAACTATTAACGAACGAAAATTGCTATCCAAATCCAATTCGAGGGTCCGAAGCAACGAAGACCAACATAATAACATGTAAGCTTCATCTTGATCAGTCGTGATGATATCAAATCAACTTCTAAAAAAATAAACGAAAACAACGTTAAAACGAACGAAAACACACCATAAAAAAAGTTGAAAACTGTTATAAAAGCAAAGTTATTAAAAATTAGAAAAAGAGAACAACAAAGATGCGATATAAAAAATAAAAAGTCAACAAAAAATGTCGACGGATGACAACCAACATAAATTTATTTACAAATAGTCATTATGATCTTAGATATGATACAACATTTAAAATCATTATAAAATTCCAGTCCAGATTTAAAAATTCCGACTTATTTTATTTTATTTTTATCTAAACTTATGATTTTGATGAGATATTATTTAGAGGCAGTAACACAAAATATATGTCGCGTTCCAAGTAAATTTAGTTACTATGCATTCAATAAGTTTACAACTTTTTAATTAAAAGTGAAGGAAAAAAAAACATATTTTAGACAGTTTTTATTGGAGCAAACAGATTTTGTCGCTGTGCTAATTTCATCAAATTTATGTTATTTTCATTCGGTGGCATAGAGATTATTGTTTGGAGAAGTGGGATGTACACAGTACACCTATTTGATCGAAAAATTTTCAGACATTTCTTAAACAACTTCAGTAGACTTCTTTGACTAAATAATGCAAGTAAAAGAAAATTTGAAAAATATAAATGTTGAGAATTAATTTAAGATCTAAATTAATATTATAATGTATATGAAACTTATTACGAAAGATTGATGAATTTTATAAAATATAATAAATAATTAAAATTAAAAAAATAACGAGTTCCATATAATTTGCTCCGATTGATATGAAAAATTATATATTTTTTAGTATATGAAAAATATTTTTTTTTATTTTCGACGTTTTTCCCGATATATCATATTTTCCATTTATTTTTCCCTATCAGGCACCCTTCAGACTATTTTTCCCGATCTAACACCCTTTGCAGTAAGGCGCCCCCTGCAGCGCGCTTTACACTGATCTGGCGCAACGTGGGGTAAAGCGCGTCCCTGAAGCGCGCCTTATGATGACTGGGATACACGTGTGTAAGGCGCGGGGCAGGGGCCGCGCCTTACCTGCAAATCTGACATGCGTTAGAAAGGCGCGCCCCCTGCGGCGTGCCTTAGGTTTAATTACATACATACCCGACTGTTCACACCCCCTCCCTCCCTATAAATACCCCCATCCTCAATCACTTTCATCACACTAAATCCTCTCAACTTCTCTCAACCTCTCTCAAATACTATATTCTCTGTTTAAGGTATATTTTATTATATTTAATATTTTGTATTTAATTTATTTAAGTATTTAAATTATTTAATATTGTATTTAATTAATTTTTTTGTAGATATAAAATGGAAGGTGGTCTACTTCGCTTGGATGAAAATCATATATCTCGACATTTTGCTGATACGATAACATTTTAACGTTTTAATTTAATTTAAATTATTAGTAATAATTTATTTATTTATTTAATGCATGATTATTAGTTTAAAATTTATTTTTTAGAATTATTTATATTTTAGGAGAGAGGTCGTATATTAGATCCTTTTCTTAGGAACCTTAAGTTAGTGATACCTGGCTGTGTCATGCTGTATTTAGTAGATGCTAGATTCAGTCACATAGGTAGATATGAGGGTCACTATAAGATAGAACTAGACCTTATTGCTGCCTTAGTGGAGCGGTGGAGGCCGAAGACCCACACATTCAATCTTCTGTGCGGAGAGTGCACGATTACACTTGAGGATGTTTCTATGCACTTGGGGCTTCTAGTGGATGGAGATATGATATTGGGGATGGCGCACTGTTCATGGACTGCTTTGTGCCGGGACTATCTAGGACGTGTCCAGGAAAGTTTTAACGGTTGTCGGATACCGTTAAATTGGTTAGATGCCAATTTTCGGGAGTTGAGCGATGTATGCACTGGCATGCCGGACAAACCTGATTAAATAAATAATATATGAACGAAAATATAACATAATAAAATTTTTACACATAAACGTATAATATTTTTTCAAATAATCATAATAAAATATAAGTATAATAAAAAAATTATAACAAAATTACCTTATAACGAAAAATCGCACGAACTTCTGAATCAAATATGAGAAGATTGCCGGAATTATTGACTCGTTGACGGAATTGTTGTATTAATTTATAAGTTGAGAGGGGAGATGTGAGGAGTTTACCGGGGGAGAAGGGTATTTATAGCCGAGAAAAGTAGCTATAAATATACAAGGCGCGGTGAATTGTAGCAGTTAAAGCTAAGGCGCGGCCCCTGCCCCGCGCTATATATAATTGAGTTAAAGGTAAGGCGCGACCCCTGACCCGCACTATATATAATTGAGTTAAAGGTAAGGCGCGACCCCTGACCCGCACTATTGCCCTACGTGGAGTAAGGCGCGCCCCAAGGGCCGCGCTTTACACACGTGTAACCCACATCAGCATAAGGTGCGCCCCAGGGGCCGCGCTTTACACACGTGTAACCCACATCAGCATAAGGCGCGCTCCAGGGGGCGCGCCTTACCGCGCGCTGCAGGGGGCGTGCCTTACTGAAAAGAGTGTTAGATCGGGAAAAATAGTCTGAAGGGTGCCTGACAGGGAAAAATAAATGGAAAAGGTGATATATCGGGAAAAACGTCTCGATTTTCAAACATGCATTTTTCAATTTTCTCCGTCCATAATATTTTCAAATTTTATTGACCTCGGTATATACTATTTCTAAAAGTGACACTAACATATATAAATTTTTAAATATTATCTCATCTAAAAATAACTTCAGTATATATGATTTCTACATTCCTCACTGCTTTCATTTCATATATCTGAAGACGTTAAGGGAAGTTAGTATACTACATTATGTGGAAAGAAATATTTTCACTAACGATAGTAATTGTACCACTTCTTATTGTCTCCTTTTGGCAAAATTAACCCAATAATCTAGACCTTAAAGTTATTTGGTCTAATAAAACAACTTGAGAATTAATTAACAATCTAGGACATTTGTTACATTGTAAGCCAAACTCGCCACCTCTAGGTGACGAGTTTGCTTGAAAATTATTTTTAATGGACCCAAGAATGTAGGCCTTGAGGAGAAAAACTTTTTAATATTTCCTAAGAAAATCTTTTTAATATTTCCTAAGAAACTCGCCACCTTTAAGAGTTAGTTTAAAAATATTAATTCCTTTGAAATTAAAGAAATATATATATATATATATATATATATATATATAACTTTTTATTTTAGAATAATAAAAAAAGAAGAAATGAACTCATCATGTGAAGGTGACGAATTTCATTTGAATTTGAGAATTATAGTTGTGGGTTGAACGTTGGGCTACGTGTAGATTCAAACAGTCATAAACAATTAGTTGAATGAAATTCATCACCTCAAGATGACGAGTTCATTCAACTAGCCATTATGATTGTTGGTTAATATTTTTTGTTTTAGTATAAATAAGTGTTTGAGGTTTGCATTGTGAATTTGTTGAGAAGAAAAAGATTGTGTGAGGAAAGAAATTGAGTTTTGAATGTACGTTATTTTTTTAATTATTGTATTTTCTTATAATGTTAAATGTTAGAATTGAAAAATTAATTTTGTTAATATTTTTTGTGTAGGTTTAAAATGGCCACCCGAGAAGAAATGTTACGTCTTGATGATGTCTATATTTCTTCACTTCAACTTAGTTCGATAAACATTATTTTCTAATATTTTTAAAAGTTTGAATTGTAATTTTAATGTAATTTTTTATAATTTTATTAATTGTTTGAAATTTAAAATGTACGAAGCCAAATCAGTGGATTTTTATTTATCTACAACATTTCGAATTGTATTCTACCGCATTTTTCGTGGTTCCAAGGTGATGCCTACATTGACTTCAAGGTTGATTGGATGTTGGAGATCCAAAACGCATATGTTTCATTTTCCGAGTGGAGAAGCAACTTGGTCTCCCTATTAATAATGCAACATTGGTGAGACATAACGAGTACAATGTAGGTTAGATTTGTAACACCCCTGTTGAGTCAATCAAGAGGATGAAATAACCAAGAGGGGGTGAATTGACAATTAAAATTTTTGGTGGAAGCTTGAAAGAAAAAAGAGTTCATCTATCAATCTCATCCTTCTTTGTAGATGGTCACGAGTAACACAACCTGGAGTCCATCATGGTTGGTGAGACATAACGAGTACAATGTAGGTTAGATTTGTAACACCCCTGTTGAGTCAATCAAGAGGATGAAATAACCAAGAGGGGGTGAATTGACAATTAAAATTTTTGGTGGAAGCTTGAAAGAAAAAAGAGTTCATCTATCAATCTCATCCTTCTTTGTAGATGGTCACGAGTAACACAACCTGGAGTCCATCATGGGTTGTGATGTTAAATAAGGGAGT